CAAACTTGTGGACAAATGGAATGAAACGTTAATGGAATTCTCCCACAAACTTCTTCAGGTTCCTGTGTATATGTATGTAATAATTTCATGCGTTCAAAGTCCGCATTGTGATTTATTTGTACTGTTTTATAGTTAAACAATGGACAGACATAATAAAAGTTAGCATAATAGGCAGAGTGTCAGTAATCACTGCAAATATCATCTACTAAGTATTTTACGTTAGTCGTGTGTTTGATTCTTCCACCTTTCTGAGGACTACATCATTATCATCACTGTTGCTGTCCATTATTTAAGTCAGAAAGCCAGGACTGGATTTCACCCCTATGCTGGGCTCTGGATCCCTTGCTCCTAATTGCTCTGTTGTGCAGCTTCAGCAATGGCAGAGCCTTTCTGAGAGACCTACTGTGCAAAGGAACCTGGGTGGTGTAAAATAAGTGATCTGCCGCTAACCCAAAGTTGGTGGTTTGATCCACCCCAAAGATGGGGATTTCTGTGATTGTAGCATTCGTTCGTGTCTTAGAAACCCCCAGGGGCACTTCTGCTCTGTCCTGTAGGGTCAGTTTGAGTTGGAATTGACTCGATGGCAGTGAGTTTGCTTTTTGGGGGAGTTTGTGCAGGAGAAAGAGCTGGCTTCCATAGAGATTACAGACAAGAGAGCGTGGAAGCGATTCCCTGAGTCAGAATCGACTCGCTGGCACACGGCACCGTGTGTCAATATTGCCTTGGCTGTTGGCGCACGTCATTTGATCTTTGCAATAGCGTCGTAAGGTGGTGGTAGTGTATTGTTTGGCTTTCTGAGGAAGTGGTTATGAGGTTTAAGTACTCACCCCCCAAATCCCAGAACTATTAGTGGGGAGCCAGAATGGAGTGGAAGCAGAACATCTGATTGTTAAGACCACGGCACAATGGAGAAGGGGATTCTACGTCCTTTCAGGCTTGAAGGGCAGGATGGAATTAGCATACATCTGAGTTGAATTAACCGTATTCAAATGACTGTAGCAAGAGATGGATGGCTGTGTGCTATGTGCAAATGAAAGTCTCTGAAGCCGGGAGTAAGGACCTGTGTCTTCTGTTAGGATCCACAAAGGATTCTTCTCCATGAAAGCTACTGCATTTCCCAGTAGACATTGTTTTGTGTCCACTGACTGGTTCGGCCTTTAAGAAATTCCACACCTATGTGTTGCATTTACATAATAAAATAAGCAACCCTGTGAAACTGGGGGAGCTTCTCTATTACCAGAGGGGCCATCGGTGATTCTAGTCTTTTGGAGTTGGAATCTAGGACCACGGGGAGCAGAAAATCCACAATTATCCACCCTGCAAAATAAAAGGGAGAGAGAAAAAGTAAGCGCACCCAGGCGCCTCACGGGGTTGTCAGTTTCTCTCATTCAGCCTCTAACGGATTTCTAACGGGTCTTTATCTCCATCGGGGTCCTGTGGACCGCCTTCCGGGTTGTTCTCACTCACTGCCCTGGAGTCAATGGTGACTCATAGAGACCCCTGGTGGGTTTCTGAGATGGTAACTATTTATGGGAGTTGAAAGCCTGGGCTTTCTAAGGAGGAGCTCCTGATGGTTTCAAACTGCTGAACATGAGAAGTGAAGCCTAATGTGTACCCACTGCACCACCAGCACACCTTTAGATGCTGTTCAGTCAGCCTCTTGTGATTCCTGGGTGCAGAGAACCGCTTGAAACAATTTTGTGAAAAAATTTCGTGATTGCATGGCCATCTTCTGAGACATCTCTGGGTGCGTTTGAACCTGCACTTTTTCTGCTGGTAGTCTAGTGTTTAATCTTTATGCCATCCAGGAGAGGAAATTACTTATATCTGTGATTCTTGCTCTTAATTCTACAGAAATCAGTTTTGTCTTGTAGGCCATGCTTCTGTGCCAGGCCTCGTGTTTAAAGCACTGATTTTCCTTATTTTAGATTGCCTCCTCGCTTCTCAGCCTTTGGGCTAAGATCAAGTGTAGATTGCCTCATTGAATTCAGGGAATCTTTGGTAATATTTCATAGGGAAAAAAGGCATAGCATAGTATGTCAGGATTATGTATTTTGTGGCTATCATAAAAATAATAATAACTAAGCTTATAGTGAGAGTGTTTCCTGCTGGTTAGGAAATACACAAAGGACTTGCAATGTATTATCTGGTTTAATACTATAACCTTCTCCTCTGGGTGTGATTTGTATTGTTGCTTCCATTTGATGTAAGGTGATTCTGATATTCTTTTTTTGTGGTTGAGATGAACAATTACAATAATGTAAAAGTAAACTTTTGTCAAAGAAGAAGCTACCTTTTAATCCTGTGGGACATGGTTCCAATTTTGGCATTTCCCCTCCCAGTCTTTGTCCAAATGTTCCCAATAAGCAATCTACAATTTTGGATTCTGATGGTTTTATTATTATTATTATTATTATTCATTGGAATGATAAACTGGGTCTCTCAGTTATCATCATGTAATGACTACATATGAGTAATTGCTATAATTCATTTTATAATTTCTCTCTTTAGGGATATTAGATTGTTTCCATTTGCTTTTGTATATGCTATAGCAATGAAAATCATGCTATGTGCAATATATTTTATTCTCTTTGACTCTCTTAGAGAGGGGGAAAAAAATCCCTTTTCCAGTCAAAGAGTCAAGACAGGTATTTTACTCATTCTAGCTTTTTGAGTTAGAATCATTTCATAGGTGTGAATGGTAAATATCCCAGAAACACCTTTCGAAATCTTAAGAGAAATGTCATTTTGAACTGCATATTTTGGGGGGTTCTTTGTCTGATATTTAATGTGCTTTGATATCTTTACTTGATATTTGGAAAGGGTGCTTTTGAATAAGGTATTGCAATTAATATCTCACTGCCATTGAGTCAATGCTGACTCAAACCCTGTGGGTTTTCGATACTGTAACAATTTATGCGAGTAGAAAGCCCTGTCTTTCTCTGCAGAGCTGATGCTGGTTTTGATATAGTCTGAGTGAATTTTTGTATTTAAATAATATAAATAAATAGGGCTTTGAGGAGGGTCGTGGGTGGTTTGTGTACCAAAAGCATCCATTCTTCATCAACTCATGAGACAGGAGACATGCCGTGGGGAGTTCCCCTTGGCGCTCACTGAGGCTGGTGCCGACTGTGATAGACAGTGCTGATGAGAGGAGCACATCAGCAAAAGCCGTGCGTGGCTTCTTTACCTTGGCCAGTATATGTTCTTTTTCTCTTATGCTTTTGCTCAATCAGACTCATTGCTTAACATGAGCCCAAGACTGGGAAAATAAAGAGTATTTGCTTGCAGAAATCTTTTTTCTTTGTTAAAACAATTCTTGCAGCCCTATTTCCCCTCCAATCCCAGCTTAGGCAGGATTTAAAAAACCCTCTTGTCTTTCCAGGATGAAAGCATCTTGTTCTATGGCTGTAGGGACCCTGGAATCATCGTATCTTCTTCCCTGTATCTTAGGGAGCATCTAAATACAGTTAGAGAGTTCTCATATCAGCCCTGTAGGCTAAATGAAGTAAGCGCAAGTTCTTTGGACCCTTTGTTCCAGGAACGTCCTTATGTGAAAACAAAATATCAGTTTAGGCTATTGGCCATGATTATGCATCAGGCATACTGTAACTACAACTTTCAGATGCTGAGCTCCCATTTTGGACTTATTAGGGAGCCTGGTAGATATAATTCCTATGAAAATGTACTTCTCAATTGAACTTTCACTTTTCACCATATTCTTCCATCTCAGAAAGACCTATGAGATTATTGATGAACATAACTTTTAGAAAATTATCTTTAAATTCAAAAATTTTAAAGCCCCTTTTCCCCATACACACTTTAAAAATTTCAAAGTTTAGCTTTGTACATTTTTATGATAAATAGGTAAAACAATATTTTATTAAATTATAAATCTAATAAAATTGTAAATAATGTACTGGTCTCATGTGCACATCAAACTATTGACTGATCGAGTGCTTCACTTTTAGAAATATTGCTGTATCATGCGCTAGAAGTGCGACTATGCATACTACCTAACATATGTTTATGTTTCAGTCAATTCCCTACCTGTACATATGTACATTTGTGAACAAATGTGTGCATATGTAAACACCTATACTTACTTATTATGTTATCAGTAGACTGGCTTTTTGAGGGGAAGTTTTGTAGTAGACTAAAGATGTCTGTCTCCCAGCCCAAAGCTACATAAATTATCTTTAGCTAAGAGGCTTCCCTTTATTTTTTGTCTATGTACTTGACATCAATGAGATTCAAATGTTCATGCAAGAACAAGTTCCCAGAATTATTGGGACCTGTTACTCTTCTTTATATTTACTTTTGTGTCTCTATGTACTATGTACATATATGTAAATGTGTACGTGTGTGTGCGCGCGTGTAACGGTGGGTGGGGACAGCTGGAGATGACTTCATCAGGCTGGACAACTGATTCATGGGTGGATTCAAGGTAACCCAACTGTGAAGCTAGCTCCTCTAGGCAACAGTCTGCCCACACTCATTGCCAAGGTAGCACAGGCGTGGAAGAGGAAATACCAAGGCATCTGAACAAGGAAATCTGATAGATGCTTGAAAATTCTCCTTAAGTTTCTAATATTCCACAGCCCTAAGATAAGAGGGTGAAGCCCTCCCTCTGGCAACTTTGCGCAGCCCCCACTCGCTAACTCAAAACCCTGGGAACTACACGTCGGAGATCTGAATGTATTCTTGGTCCTAAATCAATCTTGTCACTCCTCGGAGAGCAATGCAAGATAATAAGTAGTATTCACCTGATTGCCTTCCTGCTCCGAGACAGCTGGTGACGCATGTCTCCCTGATAACTGGGAGCTTCAGATCTAAGGCAGGGATAAGGGGTGGCTGGGAGCTTGCTGAATCTAAATTTGACAGTCGATGGCAGAGGAGAGGGTCAGAGGAATAGAAGGCGAGGCACGGATGCGAAAGGAACAAAATGTACCTGCTCTGGTTGTAATGATTAGATGTCTCTCTGTCTGGCTTTCTTACAGTGGGTGACGGATCACCCCCACCAGCTGGCTCATGCCACAATTAACAAAGTTGCTACTACCGGTACACCTGCAAAGTTTAATGGAAAAATCTGTCAGTGTTATGACGGCACTGTCGCCAGGATCACAGGGACGAGGAGAAGGGAGCCGACTTTGGCTGAAGGTGGATCGGCAAGATGAAGGTCTTATTCTGCCAAAGGTACGTTCCTTTCTGGATTCCACAACCGTAACTGCTTTTCCTGGGCTTCGCGTTCTATGGTTGGTGGGTTCGTTTGTATTTCATGAACAAGATGAGTCCTAGATGTTCCCTATGCTTCTGAAGGATTCACGGCATCGTCTGTGAAAGCTTGGTTTTGCTTATGTTTTCTTCTTCTTTTTCTTTTCTTAATCTGGAACCTCAATAGTCTACTTGCTTTGATTCCTCTATGGAGGGTGCAATATAAAGTGACACTTTGCAGGTTGCTGTGTCTAGCTAATCTTTATTAGTTCTCAAAATCGCTCTTTGGTAACAAGTATTATGTAGCATTGATTTATTTTGCTCAACAACATAAATGCCGCTCCTGTGTTTTATTCTACTGTATTCGCCAGGTTATGAGAAGGAAATAAAGAGACTTGAGTAGTTATGAGATAACTAGACACTCTATTTTTGTTTCAAAAAATACTCCACGTGGGGGAAGGAGGACTGGCTTTTTAACAACAATTAGAAAGACTCGCATTTCTAGAAATTTGGTATTATTTCCTGATGCCAGTCTGGCCAGTGACTTTTCTACCTGTGTGTTTTTGCTCTGATTTGATTTGCTTGATTGAATATTCAGGCTCTTGGGAGTTTGTCCAAATTACAGCCTTCCCATATTGCTAATTAATGAGTGTGCATATTGATGAGAAGAGGCTTGTGCCTCAGAGTACCCTCCTGAGCACTTCATCTGAGTATGACGAGAAAGGAGGGGTCTCACAAAATATGCAGAAGGCTAAGTTTGGGTTATTTATGCCATGTCACACAACTGCTGTAACACGGAGCCAATCAATTTGCAATATAATTGGGGACACACATGAGGTTCTCCTCCCTCTCCCCCATGGCCATTCAGGCAAAGAGCAGTAATTGTCTATTGCCCATTCCCATCTATATGCAGTGGTCATAGCATTTTTTAAGTACTCAGAAACAGAATTTTGGGAAGGAAAGAATGCACCGCAGGTATATTTTTAATAAGCCCATTTACCCGGCCTCACAGTGTCCTTCCCTGGCTTCGCCAGTAATAGAAACAGGGGGGAAAGAAGCCTCCTCAATGTCCGCACTCTCAAGTTTGAGAACGAAATGATACATTCATCGAACGGAAAGTGAGTCATCTTCCAGGATTGCGCATTTCCAAACCTGTCAGTGTCCAGATAATTGCAAAGGCTGCTGATTGAAATGTTGATGACAATGTTTTGACATCATGCATTTCCCAGTCTCTATCCGCTGGGCATCGAAGACGATTGTCAGGATCTCGACACTTCTCATGTCTTGGATGTCGCTGCATCCCCTCCCAGAGTACCTGGAACATGGAGGCATTCAATATATATGATCCAGTCAGTAAATGAGTGGATTTCAGTGTCTCTACTCTGACTCAAATATGCTTAACACTGGCTTCCTCCAAACCAGTCACTTTTGTGGATGGTAGAAACAAGTAACTGGATGGCACAATCAGAGACAATAGGCAGGATTAAGTTCCTAAAATGATATATTGTTGTTTTAACCCAAGCCTCCATAATATGTTGTGTAATTGAGTGTGGACATTGTTAGAACTCGGTTGGAGGAGCAAAGGTCTATGAGGATTAGAAAAGGCCAGGCAAGCGGTTCACAGCTGATACGCCGGTTTCCTTAAAATGGGATTATCTTCAGAAATGTGTAGAAATGAACTCTCGTCCGACTCTCAAAGGAATTATATTTTGGGCAAAATGTGCCAATGTAAAGAGTTAGAAGATTAGCGTTTCATAATGAAAGCAATGTATTCTTTGACATGGAAATAGAAATATAATAAATGTCCTGCAGGTGAGAGGGGCTGTACCAATTTTATTGAAGATTAAAGTTTGATTGACCTTTGTGAGGGTGATTAACCCCTGTGAAATTAAAAAGCCAGAGCTGAATGATTCTGTCCAATTAAAATGCAAACATCGAGCTGATCGGATGTCATTCAAATCATCGTCATCATCACAATAAAGTCTCTGATTTTAATTTTCATTTTGCACATCTGAATGGGATGCTGCTTTGGAAAGAGCCATAGGTCTGGCTGGAGCACCCTCGTGGCAGAGCTGTTAGAGAATAATGGACAGGCAATTGAATGCACATGGGAAAAGAGTCCCAGGTGCCACTGCCCCCGCCCCCATTCAAAGAGCAGAACCACCTGCCCAACAAAAGCAGGAGCCTGAAAGCCACTCAGCATAGACGAGACGGCATGCTCTTTGTAGACAAACACAATCAAGGGGTGCTCTACAGAGGTAAGACCATTGGCCTCTCTGTGCCCCCAGACCAGCACTTTAAACTGCATATTGCTTCCATGCTCAGTCGGTAGACTGCCCCCTGAAAACCTGTGCTCTCTCTAACAGTCCCCGATGAAGCAGTGTTTCTGGTGGCTGGAACGGTATTTTCTTCCTGGATATAATCAGTCTTTTCATTCAGTTCTAAAGTGTTATAGGAGAAGCAACCAGTAGTTATTTCTAAGGTGACTTAATGGTGCGGTTTCCTTGTTCTTTGAAAAGTTGTCTTGAAGCCTTTGTAAAAAAAAAAAATCGCAGTATGTGTGTTATTTTCAAAAACTGAATTTTCTTTTGTTTTTTGTTTAATATCAAGTTAAATTTTTGACTATGTAAGTGAATATTTTTAGTACTAAGTCCCACTGCACGGTGAAAAAGCCCCCCTTTTGTGTGTCGATGGACTATTAGAAGGAAAAAAAATGATATCAAGGGTCTTTTCATTCTATATGTAATTTTTTCCCTCTTTTCATCCAAGAATTCACTCTGCAATGTGCCAAGGTAGGAAAGTTGAAGTCGAAGGCGTTAGAGTGTGAAAATTAAGATCCCCAGGTGCTGGGGTTCATTTTCACAGGCTTTTCATGTACCCTTTCCAGCATCCTCCTGACCGATAAGCCCCTACTCCAGACTTGTGAAGAGAGTCAGAGTTGAGGAATTTCTGAGAGAGGCCCTGAGATGAATCAGCTAGCAGAAGGCTTCTGGCCTTCTCCAGAGAGTTCGATAATACCGTGAAGCATAGATTAATAATATGTTTAACTAAGATTTGTTTGCTGTAAGGATCATTTCCTAATTCTTAATTGTGGGACTAGTGCTCCACTGTAGATTATAAACAAATACGTTGCTCAGTCCCTTGCCTGAGAAGGCATAGATGACCAGCTTTAGCTGTGGTTCATTGAATCATCATGCTTTAAGCCCAGTTACTCCATGATAACGTTTTTCTTATGAAAGGCAATTCTGGTTCAAAATTACACACTATGGTTAAATTAAATCCCTAAAATAGTTGCTTTTCATTTTTGGATATAATAATTTTTCACTTGGATTACTCCTGCATTACCAGAACTACAAGGAAAGAATGTCCAGGAGGACACAGCATTCTCTAAGCATAAAAAAAGTTAGCGCACCCAACTCTTGAGAGCATCCTGCTCTACCCGTGTTTCCATGAAGTGTTTTCCACGAAGGAAGATTGTGGCTCGACGAGGTGAGAATCCTGTTGCCTTAGTGTCACAGAAAGGGTTGGTGAAAAGAGCAAGGGAAATAAGATGATATTTTGTCCCATCCCTGACCCAGTCCTTCGTTTGGCTTGAGTGCTCTTCAAAGACTCTTTTATTTGTTTACGTCTGGGCAATCTGCTTCCCTCTAATCCTCCCAGTCTCAGAGCTGGCATGTTCTCTTAGAGTTGTGAAAGAATAGGCTGGGCCATTAATAAGCCAAAATTAATCCATTTGATATTTTCATGGGCCACATATTTTAGCTGGAGTGCTCCTGTTCAAAAGGAAGATTGCTTAAACAGTGGCCAATAGTGCTGTTTTACTCATGGCTTATTGTTTGTGAGTCAACAATCTAATTCAAGCCTACTAAGAACATATTCTATCCTATGTTGCACTAAACAAAAGCCATGTGGCAAACTCATGGGGGGTCTCCTGTATTTTTGTTTGTTCTTTTAATACACTGAAGTCAAAAGTAGTCAAGCATAAACTCTCCAGGAAATTCATCTCTTTGGTAGACTACAATTGTAAGAACAAACATTTTTGGGTTAGTCTTGTAAGATATTTCACAAAATCTTGATGTGCCAGAAACAAGACATGTTCCTATGTTAAATCCAGGCGTTAGTTTTCAAGACAATTGGAAGGAAATGGAATATAGTAGCCGGCAGCTTCTTTGATACAATCCAGTGTTATTTGGATTAAAACGAGCACACTACTTCTACATTAGAATCTGGAGCATGACTAAAGTGTCTTTAGCATTAATTAGCCTTTCTGAGGTCATCACTAACTGACCCCTATTTAGTATTTATTGAGCACTCATTTGGTTCCCTGTGTGATATAAATGGTTAGCTAGGGTGCTGGGTTGCTAACCCAAAATTTGGTTGTTTGAGTCCACCCAGAGGCTTGGGATCTGCTATAAACAAAACAAAACAAATGAAAAAAAACAGTCATTGAACAACAACAAAAACCCAAAATGCTATGGATCTCCGCTCTACTGCCTCCCCCGGGGTCACCACGACTTAGAGTTGACTCCATGGGTAACAGGTTTTGGTTGGGGTTGATCTCCCAGGTTCTGCTCGAGCCCAGTGAGAGAAGTACATGAACCACATTTTAGAAACTCAAATGGGAAAGTAATTGGCAAGAAGTGAGGGGCCCAGCCTGGCAGGTGTTGGAAACGGCTGTATGTCCAGACAGTCCTGCCCTAGAACTATCCTGCAATATCCATAATTTTCTATCTTGTTGAAAAGGATTTTTAGAAAATGAATTTAAAACTTTGGGTTTTTTCCCCAAGATAAAAGGACTTTATTAAACTGGAACTTTGAACCAGTTCATTCTGGTTCAAACCCATGCTGAGAATTTGTATTCCCACCCCAGATACACTAAATCAGAATCCACACTGTAACAGGATCTTACATGAAGATCACCTGAGCATCTATAGGAATCACCTGGGACATCTTGTGAA